ATTGCACAATTCAAAGGAGGATATATTAAAGGTGATAGAACGAAACATATTTCTCTAAAATTCTCTACTCCCTGAGTGGCACTGTCTGGAAGCAAAGAGACAAGAGTAAGGTCAGTGACACTTTCATGAACACGTCTTTGATTCCCAGATTTCTCAACATCTACCAACTTCTGATTTTCATGAAAAATCACATCTCTGCTTCTGATTATTTTCTTCTTTTCTGGATCCCATATTTTATAGCCAAATTCTGCATCTCTGTAGCCAACAAAAATGCAAGCGCTAGGTTTATCGTCTAGTTTCATTCGTTGTTCCTTAGGCACATGTGCAAATGCTTTGTACCCAAAAACCTTCAAGTGAGAATAAGAAACATCATTTCTTGTCCACACTTTTTCTGGAATCTCAAAATCCAAAGGAGCTAATGGAGACCGATTTGTTAGGTAGCACGCTATCTGAACTGCTTCACCTCAAAATGACTTAGGTAACAGAGCTATCCTTAACATATTTGTGACCTTTTCTACAATGGTGCGGTTCATTCTCTCTGTCATGACGTTGTGCTATGGGGTACCAAGAACTGTCTTCTCATGTCTAATATCATGCTCTGAGCAGTAATCTTCAAACACTTTAGACGTGTACTCCCCTCCATTGTCAGTTCGAAGACACTTCAAAACCTTTCCACTTTCTTGTTCCACCATAGCATGAAACTTCTTGAAGTAATGGAAAACTTGGTCTTTTGATCTAAAAAAAACACCTACAACTTTCATGAATCATCATCAATAAAAGTAATAAAATACTTATTCCCACCAAGGACTCAACCTCAATGGGACCACAAATATCATAATAGACCAAATCTAAAATATTAGACTTCCTACTAGAGGACCTCTGAAATAAAACTCTATGTTGTTTACCAAGTAAGCAATAATCACATAAATTTAATGATGTACCTTTGGTAAACGGAATGAGAGACTTCCTTGCCAAAATTTGCAATCATTTCTCGTTCATGTGAGCCAACCACTTGTGCCACAATTCTAGTGAATAATCACTTTCAATTGCATTTACCGTTTCACTGCACACCTTTGCCTGTGTCTTATAAAGTGTGCAACAAATATTTCCTGTAGCAAATACCATCAACTCTTTTATAAGTTTCCATCTTCCATTGCCAAAATAACTGTCATAACCCGCTTCATCAAAGGCATGTGTAAATAGCAAATTCAGGCGCATGTCTGGAATATATTGCACATTCTTCAATGTCAAGCTGCATCCAATATTAGTCTGAAGAAAAATATCACCAATTCCAACAATGTTGCTAAAACTGTCATTACTCATCTTCACCCGGCCAAAGTTACCCGATTTGTATGAGGTGAAGAACTCCCATATTGGAGTAACATGGTAAGAAGCCACTGAGTCAATAACCCATTCAATAAACGAATCTGCAACATGACAACACTGCTTATCTTCAGTAGAAAAAATTGCTACCACTACTTCCATTTGAAGCGCTAGCTGCTGCATTCTGATCAGTCTTCTTCTGATTTTTCTCCCCTTTCAATTTGTTTTTCCAAGCCATGCAATGTTTCTTTATATGACCTTCTTTATCACAATAAAAACATTTGACCTTTCCTCTTGCCTTTGATTGACTTCTGAAGTTACCATGTCACTTAGGACATCTACTTTTACTCATTCATCTGTTCTCCGTAGTAAGAGCCTGTACATCATTCCTACCCAAGTCTTCCCTTCTCATTTCTTCATTAAACAAACTGTCTTTAACTAGAGTAAGTCCAAACGTGCCATACGGAGCAGAGTTACAAAGTGATACCACCAAAGTCTCCTAAGTATCAGGCAATGAACTAAAAGTAATAGTGCTTGCATCTCATCCTCTAGCACTATTTTAATTGTGGTCAATTGATTTACCAAGTCTTGGAATTCATTCGAATGCTCAGCAACTGATTTTCCCTCCTTTAGCTTCAAATTCACAAGCTTTCTAATAGCTAAAGCTTTATTTTAAGCTGTCTTCCTCTCATAGAGACCCTTCAGTTTTTCCCAAAGGCTATGAGCATCTATCTGTTGAGATATATGATGGAATACATTAAGATCAACCCACTGTCTAATATATCCAATGGCTTTCCTATTCATCTTCTGCCAATCACTGTCACTCATACTGCTTGGCTTAGCACTATCACCTTCAATAGGTTCATCTAAATCCTCACAATAAAGAATATCCTCCATCATAGGCTTTCAAATAGAATAATTTGAAGCCGATAATTTAATTGTAATGCCCGAAGTATTCTCCATTTACTCCCGCAATAGAACCACACGCACACAACTTGAGCGCTCTAATACCACTTTGTTGGGCAATAACTACTCGTAAAAATAAATTCAACAATCCAAGAAATTAACTAGTGATTAAATATGCAAGTAAATGATTAAAGCAAAGCAAGAGAATACAATACTGAATTTTTACGTGGAAAAAACCCTCCAATGTAGAGAAAAAAAAAATCACGGGGCAATTCCGGCCAAATCCACTATAATAATAAACCGAGATTACAACGTTCAAGTTTATGCCTAAAATTTGAATTGTCAACAATTTGGGAATACAACTATAAACAATTTGGGAATACAACTATAATTAATCTCTAAGAAAAAAATAATCTCAACTCCAAATACTACAACTCTTTGTAGCACCAAAGTAACATCTTAGAAAAATTCCCAATTTGTTTTGAATAGAGTGCAAACCTGTGGAATCCACACCCCAAGAAGGAAGAAAGACCATGAAGCCGAAGCCAAGTTTTTCCTCTGTTTTTATTTTTCAGCCCGTTTTTCTCTATTTTACGTGCAGCTACAGTAGAAATAAAAAAGGGGGAGAAAATCAGCCTCTGTTTCCAAGGACGGATCTAGAGGGTGGCGAACTAGGGCGGCACCCTTAACTGGATCCGTCGAGAAGAATTTTTTTTTGTTGAGAATAGATAAAAGATTTATATTATATATCTGATAATTCATTTTAATTACAGTCATCCTTGTTAGATCAATTGTTGACGTTTCTTCTATTAAACTAGATATCACGGGATCTAAACCTTCCTAAAGTGGATTTGAACTTGTGACATTTGCTAAAGTATATTCATAAATTTACCATCATAACAAGCATTAATTTGTCACACTTAAGGAAACAAAATAATATATGTTCATTTTACCTGTTTTAATGCAAACGAAAACAATTTAACCGGTAATTTGTCCATCTTCTTGATTATTATTTTTTCTCTAATCAATTTATTTGAGAGTTTAGTCAATTAATGACGAATGAATTTGTAAAAAAAATTGGCCTTAGTGTCTAAGGAGACTTTCAATAACTTATTTAATTAATAGAAAGTTCCACTTTTCTTTCACAAAAAAATCGATTGCGAAAAAGTGAAATCACACAAGCACATAAAATTGATATAAGCACATAAATAATTTCAACTTTGTTAATATAATAATGGTTGTTTAATTAACTTTAATTGTAAACTGAATATTAATATTTTGTTAATATATATTGCATGTTTGATTGAAAAATAAATTAGAACATTTTTCAGATTATATAACAATTTTTTCATCCGAAATGAAAGTTGGTACCTAGTTCTAGTTCTAGTTCTAGTGGTGCTTAATTAAATATTAATAAACAACACCGCTATCACGGACGTTGATCGTAAGCGTTCAATGTTCGTCATCCGCCCTAGCTGAACTCGAGCCCTGAATTCGCCCCTGTCTGTTTCTAATATTTTCAATCTCTGTTTTTCTCTATTTTCTGCCTTTCTTTTTTTTTCCCCCACACCCAGCGGCCACGTTTTTTCTTGCACATAAATATTTGTAGCCACCCAGTCCATATAACAGTATTAGCCATACTTGCGTTCTATATTTCTTCGATTAACTCACTGCATTGCCAAGATTGCTTTACAAGATATTTACGCACATCTCAAGTCTAGTTACAACGTGCTTCTAAAACAACAAATAAAGAATTTGCATTAAACTATATGCAAAAATTAGAATCACAACAAGACATTTACATATGTTTATACGCGCGCGCGCAAACACACACACGTAGAGGCCACTAAACCTCTATTATATATAGAAATTGAGGAAATTTCTTAAGAAGGATCAATGTAGAGAGAGAAGTGAAAAGTGGCAAGCATTTTAGAACTCTTTCAAATGACGTTTGGTAATCGGATGAATGATCATTGAATGAATGATATCATAATTATTTATGTAGAGAAATATATATTTTTAAAGATTGATAGTGAAGTTATTGTACAAAGATATCAAAGTATAAAAACTCGTAGGGAACAAGTGTATTTTATAAATTATGTCACTTTATTATTGTCGTATATTGTTTTATAATACAAATTGCTATGAATGAAAATCAATTATTTAGCTTGTTGTGAAGTCATTTCATTCCTTCTTGTAGGGTGCACAAAAGAGTACATACGCACTTCAATTTCTTTTAGTACAAGATGAAGAAGAATGTTGCACAAGAAGTTTCAAACCAATATTTTTTAGCAAATGTGCATGTAAACTATGAAGTAGCCACCAAGTCTTTGAATACATGTTATACTGATTAGTGATAGAATCAAATATACAGTTTCACATGTACTGAAAGAGTAAATAATATTGTATATTTCTAATAAAAAGTTTAGTTAATTTTAAAACTCTAATTTTATATTTTCAATAAATATTATTAATATTCAATAAATTATTAAAAAAATACATATCGTTTACGTATCGGATATTTAAAAAATTAAAGGATATATAAAATAATTAAAAAATAAGTATTTGGTACGTATCGGGGCTTGGATACGTATCGACTACGGGTACATAACGAGTTTACGAAGTATCGGTGCTTCTTAATGTGAAATGTTTAACAATCACAGCCGTCAACTGTCCCATTTTATAATGACAAGCAAGATTTGGAGATTATACTTACATGATGAAACATTGTAAATTCTTATGAACAAGGGGATGTGATCGTCTAGAAGAAATTAGACGCCAGTCAAAATTTCCTCTGTCATCGTCCTGTCTCCTATATTGCGTTTGTGGCTCCACATATGTGGTGATTGGGATGTTAACAGGGGCCACAATTGGTTTGTCTGTTTACTTGCTTTCTTGTCGACCTGCCTTATGTGTTGTCTTATAACTTCATTCATTGCCTTCAGGTAGTTGCTTGAATCATGGTCCCTAATGATTGTACCCTCAGAACCATATGCTGTCGGGTAACTTAGAGTCTCAAGGGGATGGGGAGAATTTAAGAAGGCTCTAAAAGCAATCTTTGCAAGGGAGCAGTTGGTAGAATCCAAGGCATAGAGGGCACTGCCGGAAGGAAGTAAAGGATGAGGTGGAGATGACTTCTCGTCTGGCTGGAGGATAAAAATTTTCCCCATGGGCGAGTATAATAATTTCTGCGAAGTGATGACATATAGGAGCATGAGCATAAAAAATCTAATGTTTAAAATGCATACAGTAGGATGTGTAATATTAGGGGAAGTGTTCATTGAGTGATTATCAAACCACTGTGTGATTAATATTCCTGAGTGTTACAGATTTAGGGACACTTACATTCTTATTTAGACAAGGGTGGGACCGAAAGGTTCTACTCAAGCGTTTGAGGACTTGGGCAACGTAGTTGGGGTAGTTGCAGGAGAATGCTCTTGGGACGATATCTCTATGCATCATCACACAATGAACATGGTTCTCATCCAACCCCAACTCATCAAGGATTTTGTGGCCGCCACAGAAGACAAACGGCGATCCAAAAGTGACCACTGGAAGAAGAGCAGATGGCTCGACTACCTTCCTTGTGAATAGCATCAAGTTGACTAGAAGAGCAAGACTGCCCCCAAGAGAATGGCCAGTAAATTGAAGTTTGGCTCGATCACCAAATCTATTCAAATGTTGCATTATTTCTGGCATGAATTGCTCATAAATCCCTTTTGCAGCTTCATAAATTCCTCTGTGAACGAGCACGTCTGTTCCCTGATACAAATGAAATTTCTCTCTCAATGACCCTATTTCCTTCATTCCTTTGTACTGACATAAATATATAGAGAATGATATTTTGAAGAGTTGATAGCAGTTAATTACTTCAAATTTGGTGGGCTCGAAAAAGAGATTTGCTTGCCATGATTCCACTGAGTCTGAGCCCTACAAGTCACCAACAGATATATAGTCAAGTTATAGGCTATCTTGCTGCCACAAGTTCTTTCTTGCACTCGAGTACATTTGGGTTAAGATTAATTATATATCTAATCAAGTAGTTATACGCTGATCTCTGAACACTTATCTGTGCTATTCTCTCAGAATCCCATCTAATTGTCACAATATTTCTACTACATTTGCAGGAGTCCAATGTAAGTATGAATGTAATCTTGGATGTTTTAGTTACCTGGATAACAAAACAACGAGTGTATATGCTTGAATCATCACAAACAAACCATTCACATGGTGAGGAATGAAGTGACTGTAGGTCCCTTGCGGCCTCCTGTTTTTCCTTATCATCGGCAGCAATCACTGCTGTCATTGTTGATGCTGCTACAGATGCTGCCATTACAGACTTGGAAACTCGGTGGGAAGAGCTCTTCTCCTCCTCTTCTTGGTGGTCATCCTTAGTTCGGGATTGGACATAAACTGCTGCTGATGCTGCAATTTCATAAGCAGCAGATGGCCGAAGATGGCATTTTTGCTCACGATTCATTGTTTTTGCTGAAATAGAATCCACAATTTCTGGTGTTGCTACACGCTCACTAGTGGAATCCTGCCCAGGTTTGTCTTTCGTAACTTCTGCCTTTTTCTCTAGAGAAGATGTAACCAATTCTAGGCCATAATATCTGCTTAGGTCCCTGGTCTGCAGGTTTTTGGAGCAAATGAAATATGTGAGATAATTACACCTGCCACTTATCATGTGCAATCTGTAGATGATGTTCAACTGAGGATCTTGAAATGAATGTAATGGTACTAAACTTGAATAAATGAATAATGAAAAATTGCGAAGTTGAAGTTCCGATTTTCAAGGTA